TGATCCATATAAGATATAAGAAAAGGCATGGAGCCATTATCTAATGAGAATAAAGAATAAATATAACACACCATTGTAGATGAATTTCTAAACTGTCTTATTAATAAAAACACAGAGCCAGATATAGGGGTGAAAACCTGAGAGAGATCAGAGGAATAGGAACAGCCACATGCTAACCTTGAAAGGACCAAACAGATGCCATAACAGGCTGCTCAGTCTTCTCTCAGAGATCAGGCTTCAATTTCAGTTTCCTAAGACTTGAGCAAGCAGTTTCTGGGAGGGCCATGAACAAAAGACATAGTCCTTGCAGTAGCTCCCTTTCTGCATGTACTCTGACTGAAGGTTCAGCCAATTCTTTACTGTCTGGGACCCCTTACCAACGTAGAGCTAAGTAGAGCATGGGTCAGTGTGAACGTGTGAGTCCAGCCAGCCTCCATGGCAACTCTCAACTCAAGGAAAGAGCCTGGGCCACTGAGTCAGCCCCCACAGTCAGTATGTGCTAGGCCAGCCAGCCCCCATGGCAACTCACGGGCAAAGCCTGGGACTTATCCATGCCTGCCCCCAAATGAAAACTGTAACCCCCAACCAGTAAATTCAAAGGCTACACACCCTCACCCAATCTTATGATGCAAAGGCTTGTACCACCCTGCTTGTGGTTTTTCCCTTTAAAAACCTCTCTCCCTGTGGTGGCACACACCTTTAATCCCAGCACTCGGGAGGCAGAGCCAGGCGAATCTCTGTGAGTTCAAGGCCAACCTTGAGTGAATTCCAGGAAAGGAGCAAAACTACACAGAGAAATCCTGTCTCAGAAAAAACAAAACAAAACAAAAAAAAAAAAAAAAAAAAAAAAAAAAAAAAAAAAAAAAAAAAAAAAAAAAAACCCTTACCTTGAGAGCTCAGGACCGTCCTCCACCCACTGTATTGAGTGTTGGACACGGACCATGCCTGGGCTTGCTTGTTACCAATAACCCCCTGTGTGTTTGCATCGGGTATTGGCTCTGTGGTGGTGTTGCTGGCAGGGGGGCGGGGGGGTCTTGAGATGTGACCACAACAACCTCACCTCACCAACTCCGAAGCTTCCAAAAGCAAGCTACTTTCTGTCTACCCATGTCTATATGCCTTGCTGTTCTGCCATCTGATTTGCTCTCTGTCCAGTTATATCACTTCCTCTTCCTGCTCAGCTCCATCCCTTCCTATCTGTCTGTACAGAACTCCAGACCTCCATGGTTAACTAGTGTTGGCATTTAAGGCATGTGCCACCACACCTGGCTCTGTTCCCAGTGTGGCCTTGAACTCACATAGATCCAGACAGATCCCTGCCTCCCAAGTGATAGGATTAAAGGTGTGTGCTAGCATTGCATGACTTTTGTGTTTACTTTAAATGGCTGGCTTTTTCCTCTGATCTCCAGGCAAGCTTTATGTATTAGAGCACAAATAAAATATCAACACACACTGTATCTATGTGTTAAGCTATTTGGTAGGTACTATGCTAATATGCATTTTCTCACTTACTGATCACTCCAGGTTTATCAAGCTTACAAAAAGAAGATTATTGAGTAGAACAAAAATTTTCCCTCAGTTCTCACACATCACTTAACATACTTCTTTATTTTATTATTTTATTTATATAAGTTTTGCCTGCTGTATGTATGTGTACCATGTGTATGCCTGGTGCCTGTGGAGGTCAGAAAGCATTGGATTCCCTGGGCCTGGAGTTACAGACGGTTGAAAGCTGACACATGGACACTAGGAATCAAACCTGAGTCCTCTGCTAGAGCAACAAGTGCTCTGAACCACTCAGTCAATTCTCCATTGACACAACCAATTTTTTTTTAATGTAACTGCTTACTCTCATCTCCCCAGGATATCTCAAGGTATCTTCTGGATGTGTAGCATCCCTAAGCTCAATGGCTTGAAGGACTGGTCCCCAGTGGGTGAAACTACTCATTGGAAGGTGATTAGATCAGAGGACTCTAACCTCATCAGTTGATTAACCCAGTAAAGGTTCATAATTTGGTGGCATTATTAGGAGGTGGGGCCTGATTAGAGGAAGTAGGTAAACAGGGTATGCCCCCCCTTCTTATCTGCCTCTCCACCTCCCTGCTTCCCAGTTGCCATAAGATGAGCAGCTCTGTTCTGCCACACCACCACCCCCACCCCCAGGAAAGTAGAGCTAAGTGAGCATGAGCTCAATCTTTGAAGCACAATAGATCTTTCCTCCATTTAAATTTCTCTGTTAAGTCACAGCAACAGAATACTGATGAACATCTCAAATTTAGCATGCTCAAAACTTAACTCTACCTCACCCAAGATTATCTTTTTCCAGTATCCCTTGTCTGAGAAAACAGCATTCAGCCAGGCAGTGGTGGTGCATGCCTTTAATCCCAGCACTCAGGAGGCAGAGCCAGGTAGATCTCTGTGAGTTCGAGGCCAGCCTGGTATACAGAGCAAGTTCCAGGACAGGCACCAAAACTACACAGAGAAACCCTGCCTCAAAAAACAAACAAACAAACAAAAAAACAGCATTCAGCTGTACAAACCAGAGACCTATGAACCAATAGAGCACACCTGCTCTCTCATACCTCAACCTCAGCAAATCTATGTTCTGGTCATAAACACAAAATACAACTATCTGCCCCGATCTTAATATCTTGGCCATTACCATCCTCACCTAAAGTACCACAATGTAAAACTGGAATATGCACTTATCTCCCATTTAGATTTTACATAGAATTGTGCACTCCTTTAATCAATCTTCTCAATGCAGAGAAAGCAATTGCAAGTGTAAGCCTGAGTATTTCACAGCACACCCCAATTCTGCTTCAGACACCCAGTTTCCATAGCCCTTTGGCTAAAATCAGAATCCCTCCCATTGGCCTCCATGACCTACCTCTTAATTTCATCTCTACCATCTACCTTTGTCCTAGTTCTCATTCAGTTTCTCAAGTCTAAGTCTCCCATCTGCCTACATCTTTGCATACGCTTTTCCACTTGCGATAACATACCTTTCACTGCATCTCTACCCTCCTCACCCTTTCACTCATCTTTTATTTCCTGGTTTGTGACATAATACTGTGTATCCTTGTTATTAGAAGTTCTCTATGAAAAATTTGCCACCCGTTAAGTGCTGACAGACCATAATTTTAATTTGTGATCCATCAATGTCAATTACTCCTAAATACAAGAAGTTATGTCTTTTGGTTTTGGTACTAAGGATTAAACCCAGAATCCTGTACATGCTAGGTAAGTGCTCTACATCTCCAGCCTCTTGTGTTCTGAGACACAGTCTCCTTATGTGTAACCCAGGCTTGCCTCCAAGTCAAGATCCTGCATTCTCAGTCTCCCACTTGCTGGGATTTTTATTCAATTATCAAACCACCAAAACATACCACAGTAAATTGCACCAGGGCCCAATAAATATGTATTGGGTAAACTATCAAATACTCACAGGACTGAGCAAGACAACTGAAGTTGCTGACTGTTGAGATCACTGGCGACTATCAAAAGCAGCCTGAGTTTACAGAGGAGGCAGAATTCAGAAGCAACTGAGAGAGAGTGAGGGAGTGAATGAACAAGCAAGCAGACAGGAGAGCAGCAGTGTCAAGAGAACGTTGCTTGTTTTCACTCTGCTGTTGTCTGTACTGTTATTCCTCTAGACTAAGAAGACCAAGAAGGAAAAATGGAAAATGACAGAGACAGGACATAATCTGAGAACTACAGTTAAGAGGACTTTAAAGTGTCAACAAAGGGGTAAGGTAAGCAAAGATATCATAAGAGTTGGTTAACTTAAGTGTGACCATGTAATCAGTTGAATATATTTTAAGTCTATAAATAAAGATGCTGATGGGCTAAAATCAACTACGCCTAGCTAGGGGAGCAAACAAGAGCACTGTGTCAAAAGGCAGAGAAGACACTCACTAGAGGGATTCATTAGAAGCCTGTACCCGGACTCCTTTAAAAAGTAAAAGTATAAGGAGGGAAATGGAGATGTTTCTAGAATAAAAGAAACTTAAGGTCATGTATGAACCATAGGACTACGGTTATGTTTATCTTCCTTTGCCGGCAGGTGGGCACAGGCCTACAATTGCAATTCTAGTGGAGACAAAGAGAAGGAGATCTTGAGATCAAGGCCAGCTACACGACAAGTTCCTAGCTTGAGGAATAGGGATAAAGCTGAATGCCCAAAAGTAGGTAAGAAAATAAATCATCTACCCTTGTTTGAGACACGTTAACTGGAGGTTCTATGCCAAAGAAAAATCCATACACGTATAACACAAAGACAAGATATTTGTTCCTGAGTAAAGAATGTATGCACTAAAGTAGTGTTATGTTTCAATCAAGGGGCAGTCGCTAAAAAAATCCCCAGTCTACTTCTGTCATTATCTCGATGTTATTCACTCAGTTTTCTTAATAAAAAAAAAAATCCTCAAGTGCCTCAGAGGTAGAGCAAGGGCCTTGAGAAAAAAATGAGCTACATAGAAGATAGGATAATGTGTTTGGAAGAGTTATGCATTCTAGATTTTAAGAAATAAAATTTAAAAAAGAAAAAGAAAAAAACCGGGCGGTGGTGGCACGTGCCTTTAATCCAAGCACTTGGGAGGCAGGTGGATCTTTGTGAGTTCGAGGCCAGCCTGGTCTACAGAGCGAGTTCCAGGGCAGCTAGGACTGTTACACAGAGAAACCCTGTCTCAAAAAATGAGAGAGGAGAGGGAGGGAGGGAGGGAGAGAGAGAGAGAGAGAGAGAGAGAGAGAGAGAGAGAGAGAGAGAGAGAGAGAGAGAAAGAAATATTATTTGTGTTGGGAAATACAACCAAGGATTTGGCCAAAACTCTTTAGATTTGATGCATACCAGTGACTAGAATGTTGAACTATGGGGACCTCTTTTCCAATCTTATCCTCGGCAATTCCCAAAGCACTAGGGTTCCTTTTTTTTTTTTTTTTTTTCAGGCACATACGCAAAAAAAAATTAAACCGCCTGGTAATAATTTTTAAAAATACTTTTTATTTTGTCAAGAGTACGCTCAGATAAAGAGGGTAACAACAGTGCATTCTGGGAGAGAGCACATCGTGCCGCGGGAGGGGTGAGGCTGGCATTGGTCAAGACATGGTACAGCGGGTTGCAGAGGAGGCCTACCTACGTGTAGCCGGGCCAGCTGCGCCCCAGAACCTTCCCCTCCGCTCACCTCCGACGCCGCCGACTGCGGCCAAGGGCGGCTGGGGCACGGAGCAGGGCCAGCCCCTCGTCCCTCCGCCAAACTAACGCCTGGGGAAGCAAGACCAAGGCTTCCGCGCCACTGCCCGGCGGGTTCCCACTTCAGCTCCACGCCCCCTACCCCGCTTCCGGGCCCGCGGGGGAGGGCCGAAAGAAAACGTGCACCAATCTTTCTGTAGGCGTGGAGGACGTCTGGCCTCTAAGCCAATCAGAGAGCTGGTGGGCGGAGCCAAGGGCGTGGGCTCGCTCCGGGATTTAAACTTGAACGGCCGACCGTTAACGACTGCGTGGGGCGAGGGTGGGTGGTACGCTTGCGTGAGTGGGAAACAGTGGTCCGCAGTGAGCGGCGACGAGCCGACTAAACCCGCGGCAGCAGCGACAGGGGCTGGTGACGTACGCGGAGCCGGGCAGCGGTGGACAGACACTTCCTGGGACAGGGTGCGGCGGAGGCCCGAGCGCCTTCCCTGGACCGCTGCGCGTGGATTCGCGTTCTCCTCCCTGGCCGGGCTCTTGCGGTCAAGGTAAATCCTGGGGTGCGCTGCCTGGGGCGTCCTTAATCGGCCACCGGGGCAGAGGCCGCCAAGTTCCTCCAGGTCACAATGTGCACTGTGCGCCACTCTTGCCCGGAGCCCGAGCGAGCTGACAGAGCCCTCGGAGTCAGCGTGGAGGCTGGGGACCGGTCCCCTGGGGAAGGAGCGGAGCTCTCGGCACGCCCACGGCCAGATGGTGCTACGGGTGTCCTCATTGTTCTAACAGCAGGAAAGTCGTCTCACGTTTGGGTTGCACCTTTCGTGGGCTCATGCCTACAACCAGCCCACCATTGCCTTTGCTTAGAATTTAGGATAGCGGGTAAAACTGAAGGTTTGTTAGGTTTTTCAATACGCAGTGCTGATGAACGTGAATAAATACAAATAAGCACGCTAACCAGTGTGTCCAGGTAGTAAGTTTTTCTAGAGAGCAGTTTGTCATTTGACTTGAAGGTTAAATTGCACCATAATTTCAGTTATATTCGCATCCGGGAATTTAAGAGTTAAAAATACCACCCTCCAAATCCTTTCAACTGTAACTAGGTAACTGCTTAAGTTTGTTTTTTGTTGTTGTTTTTTAGAAAAGATAGGTATTTTGGTCAATATTAACCATATTTATTCACAAAATATAAGATGGTAGTTTAGCTTGTGTGTGTCTCTCTAGCTTGTGAGATTGCCATGTTTTATAAGAAACCAAAGGAACTGAACATAACCTATAGACCTTATGAAAAGTTGCATTTCACTCTGTAAGCATCAACACATTTGAGGGGTAAAATGACGGAGACATAATTTGAACACAAAGGAACAACACTTTAACGATGTCTAGTAAACAGGCCATTAAAAATCCTCATGGCTTTAGTGTCTAAAATTCAATTAAACTTCAAAACATATTGAAATAATTCTGCTCTCTAAATGTAGAAAGTAAACCTTAAGCCCGTCTTTACATTTTTCCAACATCAGTCCTTACCTTGGAGTTCATATAAATATTACCTCAGTGGTTTTGCAAAAATACATTTGGGGGCTTCTCCTTTGCTTCTGTGATGACTGCCTACCAAACATAAGGTCACTGAATCCATTCGCTTTTAGATTCCTAGGCAGGCAACCTCTTGAAAGGATTTTACTCAGATTTAAACCTTGAACTCTTGCTTCTATAGACTCCAGAGTAGAACACCTTTTACTTAGGGCTTTGGCGTTAACTTTTTAAATAGGTACTATTTCTTAAAGTCTGTTTTTCTTTTCTAGGTTTTTCCTTTTTGTTAACTCAAATACTGCTAGTCAAGGCAAACCAAAATAAGGTAAGAAACTGCTCTATCGGAGGACCAGAGTTGGGATCCCAGCACCCAGTGGATGGCTCACAACTGCCCAATTCCAGCTCCACAGAAGGTTAAGATGCCTTCTTCCAGCCTCTGTGGACACCCATGTGATGCACACATACAAATGTTTAAGACTTAAAAATTAAACAACAAAGCAATCCTTTTTAGAATGTTACATTGACAAGAAATCCTAAGGCACTTTGTATGCTGTTCTCATGGTTCCTCTACTAGGTTGTAAAAGCTATTATTACGTTGTACCACTTCTGCACAAGTCTCCTCCCTTTTCAAGCCACTTACCTTCTAAAATCCCACAAGTCTGTGAGTATATACTTCACCACTAGGACTCTAGCACTTAGCACCAGATTACTGAAATATTGTTTCTAACTGTCCAGGTGTTCCTTATATTTAGCACTTTCCAGATATAATCCCTATATGTTTTGAGACTTGAACATAAGAACATACTAGTTACTGGTTGATTGGGTTTTATAACCATGTCTAGTAAATGTGAATAACACTATTGCAGGGACAGTTACTAAAGTAGGCTTTTTGTTTGTTTGTTTTTTTGTTTGTTTGTTTGTTTGTTTTTTCGAGACAGGGTTTCTCTGTGTAGCTTTGCGCCTTTCCTGGAACTCACTTGGTAGTCCAGGCTGGCCTCGAACTCACAGAGATCTGCCTGGCTCTGCCTCCCAAGTGCTGGGATTAAAGGCATGCGCCACCACCGCCCGGCTTAAAGTAGGCATTTTTAAGTTCATTTGCTATGGTATGAGTCAAGAATTTCATATGTCTGAATATTAGTAGTGCTTTTGCTGCATAACTTTCTGGCTTTTAAAACTTCTTAGTGGCCCCTAAAGATATGAATGTGACACACTGACTTACCTAAATTAAGCTTTTGTCACTTTGTAGTCATACTAAGTATGTGATAATTCCCAACTCTTTAAAGGACTTGTATTTTCTACCATAGACTTCAAAGCTTTTTCTTGTTTGGTTGTTGAGAAGGAGTTTCTTATAGCCCAGCTGGCCTTGAACTCCTGATCCTGCATCCACCCAAAGGCTGGGATTATAGATGTGTGCCAGTATACCCAATTAGCTCAAAACCAAAACTTTTTTTTCCCCCCCAGTTCTGCAAAATTGAACCTTCCAGAACTTAGCCAACAATAAACAAAAATGTTTTTACATCTCTAAAGGGTCATAAGAAGAATGCAACATAGTATTTTTTTCAGAACCTAAAATATTTGCTCTTACCCTTAGTAAAAAGAATCTGTCAGCTCCTGCACTTAGCTGCCTCATTAAAAACATACTGTGCTACATTGAGTTAGGTAGATTTCAAGTAGCTTCACACCTGGTACTAAACCCATCTATCCAATCTTTAATTGATGGAATTTAATAAGAAAGTAAGACATTTTGGCAAAGATCTTTCAGACCAGTGGTTATTACATTTGCCTTGGAATAACAAATGATATTTGTGGGATCAGGCTTTAATGAATTTGAACACAAGGCACAGATTTCCAGAGGCTTATATAGCTCACAAGTGCTTTTTGCTTTTATTTCATAATTCTTTTGGACAGGGATTAGAGAATATTTAGACCCTTTACTGTTTAAGACTTGTAAGGTCTTTTTAAGAGCCAGTCATTAGAATTTTAGCTGATTGTTGCTTCTTAGATCCTGGTAGAGATCCTAGCTTGCTGGGATTATACAGTACTGTTAATCTCTGCTTCTATTATACAGACCCTCTTTGTTGGATTCTCTAAAACAGTATTTTCTTCTTCTGTGTCGGCACAGTCCCTTTTGGCCTTTGTTTCTTCCTTGTGGAGTAAATGTGGGTGATCAATGCGTCCTCTCTGTACAAAATGCTGGATCCGGGATTCCAGTCCTTGGCATTTAGGGCGATCCATGAGGGGCTTATATGTGCGCATTTTCACTCCTTCTACAAAGGCGCTAGTTTGCTTTATGACAGAGGGCTTAATGTTTCTCCACTCTGTTGCTTCATCCATCTTTGCTCCTGCCCCACATGTTATCATGACAGAGTCTAGTCCTTGTAGCATACTATACAGCATGTGGGTTTTAACAGCATGATTAGCCCATAGCTGTTGTAGGTGGGTAACATTGAACTCCTGAACCTCGTGATCATAAATCCATTTGGTATTCTCAAATTTACAGTCATACAAGACTAGAGGAAATTCAACAGCCATGCTAAAGAGAAACAAGTGAGAACGCACAGCAGTTAGCCAATAGTTCTTTTTTATAATACTGAGCTTTAGTTGAGATTAAGGGGGGGCAGGGAAGATCTACTAATGTGAATGGTTAGTAACATCTAAGAATGCAACACTGTCTTAATCTGGAGCAACTTTATAACTGCTTCTTAAAAGGAAGGAAAAAGAGCAATGATCAATTTGCTCGGTATTAAGTGGCAATAAATCATCAAGATGTGGGTTGATAAGAAAGTAAGACACTGGCTCCCCATCATACCATAAAATTTAAAGCACATTATTTATCCAGATTTGTTCATGACATTCTCACAACCTAGGAATGAACTACTGGTGTCGCTGTTAGCCACAGCCCGTTCACAAAAGAAAAACTTCTTTTCTACCTTCCCTATAGTTTCAGAAGCTGGGAATTAGAAGCCTGGTCTAAATATCTATTTCCTTACTAATGGGATAGAACAATGAGAAAACTAATAGATAGCAAGCACCCCCTCTTACATGTTCACAACATTCTACAAATCAGAAGTTTGTGAAAGGAGTTGGGGAGATGACTCAGTGGTTAAGAGCACTCACTGTTCATCCAGAGGACCTGGGTTCAATTCCCAGTACCCACATAGTAGGCCACAACCTTCTGTAACTCTAGTTCCAAAATATCTGACACCCTTTTTTGTGGTTACCAGGCACACAAGTGGTATACAGGCATACATGCAGGCAAAACACCAAACACCTATACACATAAAATAAAATCTTCTAAAAGTATACAGTTTAATGAAGACAGAATCAGTGGTTGAGTTTTTTCAAAATCATGGGAGAGAGAAGGATGTACTAGTTTGATTTAACTTACCTATATTGAGGTTTCTGGGGATTTTTCTCTATGTTTAGCAATTCATCAATAATCTCTGGCTTCTCCATTCCTTGGCCAATCAGAAAGAGGATAGCCATCATACACCGGACTTGATGATACAGGAATGCCTGGCCAATCACTTCAAATTGACATAACTGGAAAGGTTCCTGCCTTCTCTCCTCACCCAGGCTCTGAGCCACTAGTTGTACTTGTGCAGACAGAACAGTCCTCTGAAAATTAATCACTCCATTGGCCACATCCATTTTACACAAGTTTCTGAAATCATGAGTGCCGACATACTTCTGAGCTGCATAATTCATGGTTACAATATCTAAATCAGCACGAGGGAAAAAATAGCGGTAAGTCCGCTCAAGACAGCTAAACCTAGCACTGAAGCTAGGCTCTACAGGAGCCCAGGCCAATACTCGGATATCTGCAGGGAGCACCCGATTGAGAATGTGGGTATAACGGATCTCTTTAGCAACATCATCGGCTTCATCACCTTTTAAATTAGAATCATCTGAATCCCTGCCCCTTGGGAACTGAGAACGTAGGTCCAGAGAAATCACCTGTGGAATTAGAGAAACTGTTTCAGAGATGATCTCAAGACTCAGTGTGTACACTCAGATTTCCTGTTACTACTTGCTTTAAGAAACAAGGTACTGGCCCTTACCTGACCAAAGGCACTAACTCCTTTGTCTGTTCGACCACACCGGTGATAGTTGGATGTCTGTCTGTTTTCTATTAGTCGGGTCTTGGTTAAAGCCTCAAACAGTTTCTCTTCAATGGTATTGCTTGTGTTTTCCTGACTGGCAAAGCCCTGGTATCCCCAGCCTAGGTAGGCTATTTTTAGAGCTACATGTCTTCGGCCATGAGCACTGAAATCAAATGCACGCTTAGCTTTTCCAGAGCCTAAAGAATTTTCTCTGATGTTTGAGTCTTTGACACTGTTGGCCTGTTCTTTCTTAAGTCTTTTCACCTCCTGCTCCAGTTCCTTTACTCTGCTTAGGACTTTCTCAATCTGGTTTCTGTCTGTGTTTTCAGCCATGACAGCCGTCTGAAGAAAGACAAGAAAAGCCGTCTGTGGGAAAAGAGTGAAGGAACATATCAGTTTCAGTGCTAGTTCCTTTGGACATGACAGTGTAACATGATTAAATGTCATCGAAGCTGGGCATTGTAGTGCAGTCTTATGGTCCCAGTACTTGGGAGGCACAGACAGGAAGACCACAAGTTCCAGGCCAGCCAGGGGTACAGAACAAGATACTATTTCAAGAAAACAAAAAAACACTAAGATTTAATTTGATGTTAAAAGTGTAGGTTCTGCTTGCCCAAGGTGCCCAAAGACACCAGTTTTATTATTATGGATTCATCACCGTTCTTTGTTTTGTTTTGTTTTGTTTTTCAAGACAGGGTTTCTCTCTAGCTTTGGAGCCTGTCCAGGAACTCACTCTGTAGCCCAGGCTGGCCTTGAACTCACAGAGATCCGCCTGCCTCTGCCTCTGAGAGTTGGGATTAAAGGCGTATGCCTCCACCACCCAGCTCATCACTGTTCTTTTACATTTTATCTGGCCACTTTCACAAAAGAAAAGTGAAAAATTCACCTATTTTTTTTTTTTTTAAGTTTAGGGAAATGCCTCAATTTCATTTCTCTGTTCCTTACTAACCAAGATGAGGATTCATGTAGAATGGTTTTCTCCCTATAACATTTCCTCTTGATTTCTCAGTACATTTGTCCAGTATTTTTAATAGTAAAAATTATTTATATGGGGTACTTATGACTGCTTCTGTTTCTATTGTCTTATAATATATCAAGTGGCCTATATATTGCTATCTAATGTTCTGTTTTGTTTTAAAGGTGGCACAATAGAAGCTATCTTAATTGAAGAAATACAATCAATGATTATATTTCACATTGGAAGTAGAACCTGGAGACAAATTTTTCTTACCTTAAGTAGCTGTAATGGCAGAAAAAAGGTAATTAATAATTACTGGCTTTTTTACAAACAACTTCATGTGTTCCTAAAAGATTTCTGTAACAGTTATACAAGAGTTAGTCTGACATAATTTGGATCTGGAAGTTGAAATTTCGGGTGTATTTCAGTAACCAAAGGGCAACAATACCACAGTCTGAACACTGAGGTGGTTCTAACTAATCTGACTTGTAGTTACTTAGTTAGCATTTCTATATTCATTCTAAGGCCAACTATGACTAAATGGAGTTTATGAGAGATTAAACATTTAAATCTTGTAAGTGACACTAATATTACTAGCAGAAATATGGGAAAATGCCTTTTCTTATATTATTAATTATCAGAAAAAGCCTGGGGCCTGGGGGGGAGGGGGGTACACCACCACACAGACAGATGACACTAGGAATTTGACATAGAGCCTCTTGTATTCTAGGCAGTCACTCAGTCACTAAGCTATATTCCTTGGAGAAAGGCATTGCTAACTAACACATGTTCAAGTGAGAACAGTTAATTGTGGAATGGTCTACAAGGATGGGGAAGTTTGATGGTATATCACTGTGGAGGGGTGGAAAACTCACTTAGCGGTAACCCCATGCTAGAAATTGAACCTATGCTACATGCTTGTGCAAGTGTATAAAAGCTTACAAGACACTCACTGTACATTAATTTTTAACAAGTGATTATAAGTCTATGTTATATCAATAAGGGACTGGATAAATTTGACACAACATTACATGGTGAAGTAAGTTTTCATGTGCTGACAGCTGAATCACCACAACTCTCTTCAAAGTTCAGAGAGGTTTTGTGCCATGCTCCTTTATAGTGTGAAAAACTTTAGTGTGAATACAGAAAATTCTAAAAAACTGCTAAGAAACTGCCTTTAGAAAGAAATTTCATTATGGAGGAGAAATCCTTTAAAATTATAAGCATGTATTTTTCAATTTGAAGAGAAAAAAAAGTAGGGAAGCAAAGTAGCTACCTTCGACCCAGTCAGGAAATCAACCACTGCGTGTTTCGGTGGTTGATTTGGATAGTTATTTTTATTAGGACAGATTTGTCTTAGAGTATATGCATACACGTGTGCTGTATGTGTGCAGACCGCATCATGCTGCTATTTTGATGTCTGATTCAGACTGCTGAGGTACAGTTACAGCTCCGGTACTTACTAACTGTGTACTTTGGGGCAAGTAACTTCTTGAAGCTTCCTGTGAAAAAGAACTAATTCTAAAATGCAAGGATTATATGGATTAATAACCATATGAGAGTAATGCCATATACATAAAGCATCCTCTAAACATGTTATATAATGTTCACCAAGCATCATGCTCCATTACATGTAGTCTCAAGCTTTCCATATGCCAGAACTCAGCCCACATCACAGGAGCCACATATGACAAGGCAATAGGAAGTGAAAGAAAACAGTAGACATGAGAGCAAGTAATAGATACATCTCTACCACAACTATTGAATTTATTATTGCTTTGTACTTTCAACTGACTATAAAACTGAGACAAGAATGGGCAATTAATGAGGTGGAAACTGACCAGTGTTATCTTTTATAGACAGCCTTATAATGTGGAGGAAGCAATGGAACAACTGATAGGACCCGGTGGACAAAAATGGGCCAATATGGATCCAGAAGAACGAATGTTAGCTGCTGCTACAGCTTTTACACATATCTGTGCAGGGCAGGGCGAAGGAGATATTAGGAGAGAAGCCAAGGCTAGCCAGTATGATCCCTATAGTAAAGCCTCTGTGACACCAGGAAAGAGACCTGCTCTTCCTGTGCAACTGCACTACCCACATATAAGAAGCCGCGTCACTTCATCAACTGTTTCAGAGGCTTCTCAAAAATGCAGAAAGCCAGTGATGAAGAGAAAGGTTCTGCGCAGAAAGCCAGATGGGGAAGTACTAGTGACAGATGAGTCTATTATCAGTGAATCTGAATCGGGTACAGAAAGTGACTTGGACCTATGGAACTTAAGACACAGGCTGATGAACCTACAATTTCAAGAAGGCACAGAATCCCCAAGTGATGCTTCTCAAAAATATAACCTACCACATGAGTATCAAGGAATTTCACAAGAAGATCAGCTCATTTGCTATCTACGAAGAGAAGAAATGGGACCTCCTGTTTATGAACAAGACTTGATTGTTGCCAGCCGACCCAAGTCCTTTATTCTCCCCAGGCTGGATCAGTTAAGCCGAAACCGTGGCAAGATAGACCGGGTGGCCAGATATTTTGAGTACAAAAGGGACTGGGATTCAATGCGGTTTCCTGGGGAAGATCATAGGAAGGAACTACGCTGGAGTGTCCGAGGACAGATGCTTTCCAGAACAGAACCCCAGGCCAAACCTCAACATGTTTATGTTCCAAACAATTACCTAGTACCAACTGAGAAGAAAAGGTCTGCCCTTCGGTGGGGTGTGCGTTGTGACCTTGCAAACGGTGTCATACCCAAGAAGCTTCCTTTCCCTCTTTCTCCTTCTTAAGACTTTTTTTAACCTGTCTCCTTCCACGGAATTTAGGACAACTCAGTTCTTTATCTCTCTCCTTTTAAATACAACTGACTTGAAAAGCCCGTAGAACATAGGGGAAGGACTTCACTGGTCCTTCCTAATTTTCCTATGTCACTTAAATTTCTAAGTTGATATTCTCAAATACAGCAACTGAGGGAGGGGACTACCTGAAATGTGGATTTTGTCAAAGTAGTCAGTGCCATTTTGAAAAGACTTGTAAACTGTGGTGTTTTGTTTTGGCTTCCCCCCCCCCCATTAGTGGGCATTAAGCTCAACTATTAAAGAATTTGGAAAATGATGAGTTTGGACCTTGTTTTAAGTACTTCCCAATATAAGGACCTCAACTCTAGGCCATGATTCTTCCTGTGATCATCTAATGATATTCAAAGTTTCTGTATATAACCTGACATGAAGACACAAAAATGAACAAATTGTCTTGGTACAGATCAAAATACTAGTTCTGTTTTTTGCTAGAACTTACATTCTTGATAATCTTAATAATCCAGTAAGGAATACCTAAAAAAAAAAAAAAAAAAAAAAACCACACGCAGTTATCTATTTCAAAAGCACTAGATTTAGGCCTGAAAGCTGACAGCAGAATGTTTGTTCAAGAAGGAAAAACACTATAAACATGAATAGCCCTGAACATTACTAGCTGCTAGAACATCTTCTGAACAATATTTGAGGCTATAGATGTAATACATTTACCCAGTGCCACCCATAGCTCGACATGTTATTAGGAACTCAGCTACATGTTGTAGATACACTGACATCAAGTAAAAACTGCAAACTCCAATGGTATATCTGAGCCAGGACAATGCCACAAATGCCTGGGAATACAAATTATTGTAACTCAAACAGCAAGATCTGTCATGTACAGACGAGGAATAGTTAACTAGGTGCAGGATTAAAAGTATGACAGCTTTTTCGAAACAGTTGATTAAAAGAAAAAAAATTCCTTTCCCTGGACCTCAAAGTTCAAACTGCCAAAATAAAAGGGTTTTCAAGGTAAATATCCCAGTTTAGCTCTTTCTAAGCATGAGAAGATCAACGCAGTCATGAGGCACATTTGTTTTAAAAGGGACGACCCCAAGACTCTTGGCCCAGCACACTAGGTTTATCAGTGAAATTCAGAAGGTAGACAGGTATGCAACGGTGACCAAATACCCACAAAGGGAATTCCCTTTTTTAGGGGAATACTAAATTTTAGGGGAATACTAAACATTCACCCTAAAAATAGCCTCGAAGGCACGAAACTTTTTGAAGTTTAAAGGGAGTGGAGGGTGGATACACATTTCCCCTTGATAAAGGGTTCAAGACGCGCTATGATCATTAACTCTGAAAAGTATCGCTTAAAGCAAACCCCAAAATAAACTGCTAGTTTCCGCCACACCTTCCTCCCATACCATCTTTACTGGGCTACTATTGTTTGTATTTGAGCAATTCTGGTGCAGCAGAGGCCCTCTAAGCCAGCTGCAGAATCTAAGCCCCGCTGGCGGGACTTTCTTAGCTCCAAGAAGTCCCAGGCACGACACCACATGCGTTGTCCTAAGTCCCACTTCATACACCAGTGCCTTCCTAAAGCCTTTAAGTACCGGGGTAGGAGGTAACCATTTAGTCTCCCTGCATTTGCTCATTCCTCTATAGGACTCAAAGCATCCCACCGGGGAGAGTCCACGCTTACCTTCCGGTCATCAGCTCGCGACCACGCGAATAGCCGGAAGCTACGGCTTCGTGTCTCCAGTAAGCATGCGCGGCCTCACGGGAGGCGCGCCTGTGGTTCTGGGAAATGTAGTTCCGAGATCCGGGTGCCGGCTTTAAGCCCAAACCCACCATAAGCACGGGTTTCTGATGCAGCCCTGTTTTCACCCCAAGGCACAATCAATACAAGAACAAATGGCGAAATTACAATTCTGGTCTAAAATAAAAAGGTTTTAAATGCTGGCTATCCTATATGAAAACTAAGAGACTGAAGATAGTTTCCCAATCTTGCACATCGTTCAATTAACAGAAATTTAATCGAGAGTCAAAAGCGTTTACTATTAGGATGTTAATGTAAAGGCTAAAGGGGAAGCTATAGCCTGAATGAAAGACTGTGACAGTACAGGGCAAAGGAGTGCTGCTTCAGCACCACGGAGAGATCATGGCGACAGTTTTGTTCCTTTTCTATTTTTGCTGATTCTAGAAATGTTGCCACGACTCTTAAAATTCCAGTTGAAAATCAGAAAATCCTGGTTCTTTGATCCAAACTTAGCATAAGGGATCTACCCCCGAGCTGTGCAATATACGTGTAGGTATTGGTGGTCGAGGTTGCTTTAACAAGGGACCACGCCTTAGAATAGAAATTAAAATACGTGTATATGTGGGCACATCAGAAATACGCAGGACGGAGACAGATGTCTGCACTTGAACTCTGCTTTCTTTCCGAACCTCCAGTCGAGCCCATCAGTCCCTCCACTGTCCTATGCAACCTCACACCTTTGATGCCCAGATGGAGCTGTCGGGGGAGACACGAGCCCGAGAGCCTGCAACGCGGTATGGGTACCGCCTCCGCGCCCCGTTTCTCTCCGCGGTGCTGATGGCCAGCTGGCCAAACGGAAAGCTCGCGGGTGCCCCGCACGGCGGCGCCCCGCACCTCGCTCCCCCTCCGCCCGCCCCGCGCTGGGCCCGCGCCTGCGCAGTGCGCCGCGCCACGGGTGGTCGCGAGGCGGACGCCGGTCCCGGAGCCTAACCATTGGCCACTGAGCCGAGCCGGCGCTTCCCCGTGCGGGGGTGGCAGCACGTGCCGGGGGCGAGAGCGGAGACCGCAGCTATGGCGTCGTTACTTTGGGGAGGCGACGCTGGGGCGGCAGAGAGCGAGCGGCTGAACAGCCACGTAACCGCCGCTGAGCAGGGGAGGGCCCACGGGCGGGAGCTAGAACAAGGACTCCCGAGGGAAGTCCCCTGGGAGGGGGAGCGCCCCTCTGGCGTTTGGAGTAGGGTGTCAAGTGATGGGGGAGGTGTGGGCAGGGGTGGAAGGGCCACGGAAGAGGAGACTCCCAGAGGGAGGGCACACCTTTGATTGGAAAGGGCGAAGACCCCTGGAAATCCAGACAGAGAACGCAGCTGCTAGTCCCTAGCTCTGAGTGTTCTCCTCTCCTGATTTTGACCATTTAGCAGGTTTCCCTTCTTTGTGGTCACCTTTCCCTTGTAGGTGTTGTAAACCACCTTTCACCCAGGTACTGGCCGTATTCAGACTAAGAGACCTCTAGAAGAGACGATGGAAGCTCCCATCTTTTTATAGGATAATTCATACAGTGGACCGATTAATGAATTCACTAATCCTTAACATTGCAAAGGAAGGAGTTTGGGGTGGTCTTCCCTGCCCCTGCTGTGGGATAGCACCAGGCTTCTGCTTGATGTCTTGCTTCCTAACATTGGTTGAAATTTGTCCCTTTCAATAGTTTTCAAATCTCGTCCACCCCAGGAAGAACCTCCGTGGTATCAGGAGTACCACAGTCCCAAACATAGGTGAGTGCTGTTAGGCTAGAGCAAACTGGCGTGATTAAAGATTCTTCAGCCTGTATCTGCCAGCTGAAATAGCTTTGGCTCCTTTAATTTAATTTACATACAAGATCCTCCACTACCTTCCCAATCACTTTACTCTTCCTGGAAATGACTCTGTTTGCATACACTAAAACCTGTGAGAAATTTTGAGAGTGCACTGTATTGTTTTTTCAACGTTTTTCTTTACATTTATTATTTCTCTCTTGCCCTTTTAGACGGCTCTCTTAACACCGAAGAAGATGATGAAGAGGACGATGTAGGTAAGAGACGTTTGTTTGCATGTACTTTCTAACATTGCTTGGTTTATCATCCCTTTAACAATTGTAATGAATGGGATTGCATTGGGAAAGCACTATCTTTGCTTTCTTTTTGAGTGAATACAATCAGACAAAAATACTAAATTAGGAGGGGGTATATTTCTTTAGACAAAGTGGAAACTGCAAGGAATGGGCTAAGAATTTTCAGTTTTGCAAAGAAGAATTAGGTCCTGTCATGATTAGATGTTGGTTTGCTCAAGGTCAGGGGTTGGTGCAACAGAGCATAAGAAACTGGACCTTTGTGAAAGAGGGCGTTCTCAGTGCTGTGGCATTCCTTCTAGAACTTTCTATTAGAAGAAAAATGGGAATAAGTTGCAGCTGTTTTGTATATTTCTACCGAGTGTGAGAAAACAGTTAATTAGATGCCATTCAGGAGGCTTGATGTCCCCTTTTGTTTTTGCTTTTCTAGTGGATTTGGCAGCCAATTCACTCTTAAACAAGTTAATCCGTCAGTCCTTAGTAGAATCCAGCCACAGAGTGGAAGTCTTACAAAAGGATCCCAGCTCTCCACTCTACTCGGTGAAAACATTTGAAGAACTACGGCTGTGAGTATCTTAACTCTCAGTATGTAAGAATGCTTATGCTAGCAAGAACTAACTAGCATACTGGTACTAAAAGAACATCAGAATCTCCTTTATTTTCTAGTAGGCTGTGTTAAAATAGATTGTATAATATTACATGCCATTAAAATACAACTCAAAGAACACTTGGATACCTAAGTTGCCCAGCAAACTGAGCACATTTTGTAGTAAATCAAAATATTTTAATCTTGCAGGAGTCAGGGGGATACCAAGCCAAGCACAGCCATGTTGTCACCCTCCATATCAGAATCGACACAGGCATTGATGCCCCAAACATTATCCCCTTAACCACCATTTAAAAAGATATAAGCCTTTACTTTGCTAACCATAATTTATTTCAAATGGTATTAAAATGAGTAACTTCCTCAAATGAGTTTTCATCCCCTAGGGCTGAAATTGACATGAAGAAAATATATTCTAACAAAAAAGAACAGATGACAGATATGTGTGGACAAAACAGGCTTATTTTGCCTGCTAGGCACAGTAGGCAGAATGGTCCTGGTTAGGTAGTAGTTTGCCCAGCCACCCAAAAGGCAACTCTAGACACACTTTTTGCCATTGCCTCAGGGGCCCCATTGCTTGAATTAAGAGCCTGTGAGTGAATGTGAGCAGCTGCTGGACTGCTCATCCCAGGACTTGCTGTATTCAGCGTTGCTGATATTTAGCATGAAATTTTACTTTGTAGTAGAGAAATGGCTTGTGGATCTGGAAGATATCTTACTTGATTACAGAGGATTGATTGGATTCCTGTTTCTCATTTGGCCTTTGTTGCCAAGTTCCAATTGGGAACACCCAATATTTGGTTTCCAAGAGAAAGATGTAGTAACATGTGAACTTACATAAAGGAAAATATCCAACATCCTGATGCTCAAGATATTTTCTAAGTGGTAGACAGTCCTGCCTATGATTAAAATGTGGCTGCCAGTCATCCACCACGCAATGTACCAAATTAAGAACATCCAAATGTAGCCAGGCCACTATACCTTTAACCCCAGCACTCAGGATGCAGAGGTAGGTGATCTCTGTGAGTCTGAGGCCAGCCTGGTCTACAGAGACAGTACCAAGACAGCCAGGGCTACAGAGAGAAACCCTGTCTTGAAAAAACAGAGGCAAAAAAAAAAAAAAAAGAAAAAAGAAAAAAGAAAAGTGTGAGTGACTCGGGAAAGGTGTAAACAGTTCAGCCCACTCACGTTGCTCTCATTCTGACATTTTGCAGAGGAGTACAGGAAAGATGCATTTAAAGTTCTTTCGTCAGCAAGGTGAGATTATAGGGTAATGAGTCTGAAAGAAATGATAAAAGAATCACCTCAATCAAATGTTTTCTTTTTCTGGAAATGTCTGTCATTCATGAAAAGGAATTAAACTATCAATGCCACTTTGCTTCCCAGTTTCATGGGAAGATAACACTTGTGGTATATGGATATACACACCTTTTATCCAATGAATCTTCATCCCCAGCCATCTCCCTAACAGAAAGTTTGGCTTTAGGCCTTCCCCACTTCCTTTAACCTAGGCTTCTAGCCTAGGTTATTATCGTAGTAGTCCAACTTAGAGGCATGATTGTATGTAGTTGGGGGAGGGTCAGGGTTGAGGTATGAAGAATGTATTTCTAAGTATTGCTTTCAGCGCTGGTAGCTGGCTAATCTTCATTGCCACCTTCACTGGCTTTGGAATGACCTAGGTCACACACATCTGAGTATGTCCCTGAGGGTGTTTCCCACGGGGTTTAGGTAAGGAGGAACGAGCATCTGCTTGTGGGTGGCACTGTCTCGTAGACTGGAGTCTCTGAGTAAAAAGTAGGACAGGAGAAAGCAAGTTGAGCATCAGCATTGTCTCTCTGTTTTCTGACGGCAGACACAGTGAGAGCAGCAACCTCACACTCTCACCATCGTGGACTCTACCCCTTCTTTTTTTTTTTTTTTTTTTTTTGGTTTTTCGAGACAGGGTTTCTCTGTGTAGCTTTGCGCCTTTCCTGGAACTCGCTTTGGAGACCAGGCTGGCCTCGAACTCACAGAGATCCGCCTGGCTCTGCCTCCCAAGTGCTGGGATTAAAGGCGTGCGCCACCACCGCCCGGCGACTCTACCCCTTCTTAAACCATGAGCTTCTGTTGAGCACCGTGTCATAGGAAAGTGATAATGCTTAATTGCAAAGTGGCTTACCTCAGAAGTGTATCTTTCAAGTATGCATTTCTGAAAGCTGCTGGTACATGTATTAATGAGGCTGCTGACCAGCAGAGGCTTTGCATGTTTGAGAATTTTTATTTATTTATTTACTTATTATTTATTTACTTAGCTATCTATCTATGTACCCATCTATTTATTTATTATTTTACAGAAAGGAAGAGTTACTAAAAGGGATTTACGCAATGGGATTTAACAGACCATCCAAAATCCAGGAGATGGCCCTCCCTATGATGCTCGCACATCCGTGAGTTCACAGGGTAGTGGTCTTGCAAGTTGGTTGTTTTTGGTTTCTTCTATTTATACCCAGGATCTTGTGTTCAGTTTCTACCCAGCCCTCTCCTCTTTTTCACAGTCCCCAGAACCTCATAGCACAAAGCCAGTCGGGAACTGGAAAAACGGCCGCCTTTGTCTTAGCAATGCTAAGCAGAGTGAATGCCTTGGAATTGTTTCCACAGGTAAGGAAGGGCTCTGGTGGAAATAATTGTAGCTGTGATGCCAACAGTGTTTCAGCAATGCCTGGTCTTTCTGCAGATATATGATTACCGAAGTAAAATGAAGAATAGGCATTCCTTCATAAAATCCTAGAGTGTTGGGGAGAGTATGGGGCTAGTACCGAGTAATACACAGCCCCAGCCTTAGAGTCCAGCTGCCTCCAATTCCAGCCTTGCCACAACTGCCTGCCTAGCTGGGTGTCAGGGACCAGTTAGTAAGTCTCCCTGGGTCTGTTTTCTCTCTGCCAAGTCAGCACTCTAAAGGCATGGATCATCATTGATCTCCTCATGCTCAACTCCTCACACCCAGTGTAGCCTGCATTGTAGAGACCATTCCTTAAGCACTGAATGACAAATGAATGTGTGAGTGTTTTTCTCCTAAAGTCATCATGTGCATTCATCACTGTGCTTGGAATAAGTAAGCATATAGTGATGGTGTCTGCATGGCTGTAGGGTCAGAAGGGCATACAGTTCACTCATTTATCAGAAACTCTTGCGGGGAAAGTGTCTTCCTGAGGTCACAGAGTGGCTGGTAGAGGCACCCAGCTCACAGTTCTAGCCTCATTTCTTTTCACAAAAAGAATCTGGTCCTGTTTCCCTCTTTCCTCCAAAGGACACTTAGAAAGTTCTTTCCTGGGCTGACTTCCCATATGTGCTAAAAGCCTTTCTCAGCCAGCTGACAGTGATTCCTAGAAATTGTAGATGCGTGTGATGGGGGCCAAGCACAGGAAGTGTGCTTTCCACATAAGGTCACTGAAATTTAGATTGAAACTGTGGTATCCATTCAATTATTCAAGAGAGCCATGCTTGAGCCCATGTTATGGAAATGTGTATGGAAATTATTTTTAGCACTTTGGTGGTTGCCTTCCCTACTACAGACCCTGCACATGAACACATTAAATAACCACCAGTTTTGTTGGAAATCTCCCCTGGAGCTGCCTTCTCCAGACCCCCCCCCCCAAAGAAAGCCCACCAAGCAGTGGATCCTTCCCCTGGAGGGTATTTAAGGCCCCTCCGGCTTCCCCTGAGACCACCCGGGAATGCTTTGCTCAGATTAAACCTGGATTTAGTAATCTGGCCTATTGCATTGGTAGAGTTCCCCACCCCCTCAGGATATTTTACTTACCAGGTTCCTTCCGACAGAATCTTCATTCGACAGTCACCACTTCTATGGGAGATGAACTAGTGAATGGGAGTTGGGGGGAATATTATTCTGGCAGGATTATGCATTTATAATGTGGATTAAGCAAAGCATGCTGGAGACAGACAGACTCTTAAGAGCAAGTAAGAGGTGATAGGTATTGTACAAGCTGTGGTTTATCTTGCCTTCTTCATGGATTCCCAGCTCCCTATATCCCTTTCTCTCTCCATCAAAAGACCAGTAACTTATGTTTCTAAATAGCCCTGTAGAGAGGAATATATAAAGTAACTATTTCTTTTTCAGCTCCAACCCCTCCCCTGAGTATTCACCTCAAACCTATCAGTTATTTATCAACTGTCAAATTATATTCAATTTAAAATGTTTCATTCAGTGAAAATCTTCAGTGACATTTCTATGCCTCTTCCCATACAACTTTTAATTGTGGTTCAAATTTGAGCAGTGGCTTGTATGAACCTTCCCCCTCCCCTCTTCTATCTCACAGTGCCTCTGCCTGGCTCCTACCTATGAACTGGCTCTGCAGACTGGCCGTGTGGTTGAAAGGATGGGGAAATTCTGTGTGGATGTTGAAGTGATGTATGCCATTCGAGGAAATCGAAGTATGTACCAGTCAGCCTGTCTTGGCTATTTGTTAAATCCTGGCTTCACACCTAACTTCTCTGCTTTCTCATCTCTAAAGTGGGGAAAATAACTTAAATGAAGTGGTCCAGACTTAAGCACCGGTACAGTCTGGCATATAATGAGGACAGTGCATTATTTCCACACCTTGTAAGAGGATGCCCTTTTTATAGTCTGCTTTTTGAGACTTGGTGATTTTGTGCCAAACAAGTTTTATTGGAGATTTTTTTCATTAAAATACTACATGCTTATCATGGAAACTGAAACTTTAAAGGATGAAGATTAGGAGATGGAAGTCTGCTCTTCTTTGCCCCAGGAAAAAGACAGGAAGCCGGTGTTTGCTCTTCCTTGAGCCCATGCAGATGCATCTGCACATCTGTTTCATTGAGTGCTCACATAATGGGAGCACGTCACACCACCCTCTGACTGGCTTCACAGCATCCCATATTTTTTACATCTAGACTATTATTGAATGTTTTGTTGTTTCCTGTTTGGAAAGGCTTTGTGGTTTGGAGGGCTTGTTTTTGTTTTGGGGGTGCTGGAGATAGACACTGGGGCCTTGTGCGTGCTAGCTGAGTGCTCTCATCCTGAGTGTACCCCAGTTCCTGTAGCTGAAATGGGATCTCTCAGCTCATGCAGTGACAGGCTAGGGACACTAGCTGCTCTGGAGACTGCAGTGGTGTCCCCGGCCTGTACTCCACACCTGACCAGTTTCCCCACAGCCATGCCATTGTTCCCACAGGACAATAGAATGTTGGAATGTGGTTTTTTTGTTTGTTTTGCTTTTGGTTTTGTTTTGGTTTTTTGTTTGGTTGTTTGGTTTGGTTTGGGAGGTTTTGGTGGGGGGAGTGGTTGTTGTTTTGTTTTGTTTTTGTTTTTTTAGACAGTGCCTTACTGTGTTGGCCAGGATGGTCTTGAATTTATGTAACAAGTGATCATCTCACTTCAGCTTCCTGAGTAGTGGGGCCTACAGGATGCCACGGTATCCATTTTATCTAAGTGTAGCTTTTTAAATGACCACGGAGCACAATCAAATATATAGGGCTATTATTACCATAAACCTAAAAGTCTGAAATCCATCCTGAAATTCTGCAGAATCTAAATACATCCATGACCCGCAGGGTTTGCGCTTGAAAAATGATACCAAGCACTACGTCCTGTCACCCTGGCCTGTGTCCTGTCACCATGAGGTGAGCTGTTTTGATCTACAGGAACACTTCAAACCCTTTTCTCCACAGTTCCTCGGGGCACTGAAATCACCAAACAGATTATAATTGGTACTCCCGGGACTGTCCTAGATTGGTGCTTCAAGCGAAAATTGATTGATTTGACTAAGATCCGTGTATTTGTCCTGGATGAAGCAGATGTGATGATTGACACCCAAGGATTCTCAGATCAGAGTATTCGTATCCAAAGGTAACCTTCACGTTCATCCATTCCTCCTGGATTTTCAGTCTAAATGATCAATTTTGTTTCTCTGCTCTTCCTAATTACTTCCATTGCTTAATTTCTTGGTATTATCACCTCCGGACTGACTTCAGGTTTGTCTTAGTTTCACCAGCTCAGGGACCCCTCAGACTGCTATAATGCCTGCCTTCACTGTGCGTGCCTCTCTGCTGTGCGTTTGCAGTGCAGACTTACAGGTGAAGTGTGTGTCCTGGGTCACACGAGGTTTTGCCAGTCATGTTTTATATCCTGAGCGGAATCCTGAAGGAATCTGCTGAAGGCTGCCTGTGATGGCCATTGGGCTAGAATAGAAAACACGTGGTGTTGGAGCAGGTCTAGTCCTGACTCCACTTCTAGTGTGTAAGTAAATTATACCATTTCCCCAGATTTCTCTAACAAATCACCTGAAGGGCTTCCGATAACACATTTCTGGGCCCTTCCTCACACTCACTGCATTGAGATCTAGGGAGGGAAGTTAAGAATCTGCCTTGCTCTTTTTTTCTTTCTTTTTTAATAAAGTTAAGATGGTGGTGCATGCCTTAAATCTCAACACTCAGGAGACAGAGGCAGGTGGATCCTCTGTGAATTGGAGGCCAGCCTGATCTACAAAGCAAGTTCCAGGATAGCCAGAAGCTGTTACACAGAGAAACCCTGTCTCAAGGGGGAAAAAAGTAATATTTACTCAACTTTAAATTCAATAGTATTTAGAAACAGTCGACCCCTGCCTGCTCAGTCCTAAGAACATGCTTGTCTTTTCTGATGCCACCCTTCAGATCTTAAATAATATGCTCACATTACTGTTTCCTGATGTAAAGTCATCGTCTCCTTACTTCTCAGTGTAGAAAGTAGCCCTGAATTTTTGAACTACTGCCCTTGCCCACTCTCTACCTTCTCTCAGTGGTTAAATCGTAAGAGTTTGATTGTGCCAACACTGTTTATGTCAGTCTGAGTACACATGCACATGCAGGCACACACTGTTGGCTGCTGGTCCAGCAGTGTAGTGTTCTTACTGTGGTTTTATTATACAGCTTTCCCTTGACTGTTGTCTTTCTCCCTTGCATTAGCCCTGTGCAGGGATCTTTAGCTTTTCCCTCACTATTCCATCAGCTGTGTCATATGCAAGAGGTTTCTTCACATAGTCAAATCATGTTGTTTGTGTTTATAATTTTTAATATTTCTTTTATTCTTGAGATTATAATATCATTACATTACTTCCTCCTCTCCTTTCCTCCCTCCAAACTATCCCATTTAGCCTTCCTTGCTCTCTTTCAAATTCATGGCCTCTTTTTTAAAAATTATTGTTACATGCATATATATATATATATATATATGTTTTCGCACATATTCCTTAGTAAAACCTGCTTGGTCTGCATAATGTTACTTGTATGTGTGTTTTCAGGGCTGACCATTTGGTGCTGGGCAACCAGTTGGTGTGCTCTGCCCTGGGGAAGACTGTTTTTCCTGCTCTCAGCATTGCTTTTTACCCTAGTATTTTGTGTAGGGTTGAAGCCCACAGATATGTGCAGTCCTCACGCCAGGAAACTTTCTCTTTGCAACAGACAGAGACCATTATAGAAAACCACAACTGATCAAAATGCAGAGTTGTAGAGCTAAGACCCATTGGATACATCTACAAAAATCTCCCCCACCTAAGGCTCAGAGATCATAGAGGAAGAGTGGGGGTGGGGGTGGGGGGGGAGACTGTAAGAGCCCAAGGAACAGGTAGTCTACTGTGATACTGTGTAATGTCAAAAGCTCCAGCCATAAAGTGTCACTGACCTGGCTGCCTGCACATGAGTGAGCAAGGACAACAGCAGTAGACATGCCAGAGTGGATGGAGGAAAGTCCATGAGGCCTCGAATCATGTTTTTAGTCGTTGACTTCTGTTTATCCGGGAGGCCTCTCCAGGTCTCCCTCTCCTACCTGTCTGAGTGTCCAGCCCTGTTGTGTACTTTAATCATGGCTGTGCTGTTGCTCATTTGCTGTTTTGCATCTCCCAGTCCCTGGGTTCCTGTGTAATTTCCTGAATGTGCTGGGTTGTATTTTCTGATCTCCTTTAAAGTATATAAAAAGTTCGTGGGTTGATTTTGTTTTTTAGCTTGTATGTGTCTCAAAATGTTTTTACTCTCTTGTAAGTCTGGTCTCTGTTGCTAGGAATCCTATATTGAAAAACCATTCTTCCTCCCAATTTCAGGTGCAATGTTGAAAACCAAACAGTTTTCCCTGGGTAACTTTATGTGTAATCAATACTGTGAGCTTCTGCTTCTGTGGCTGAGAGGTTGGATGTCACCCTGCTCCCCTAGACCTTGATCTTAGCCTACCATTGGGGTCTCCTGCCGCCTCCAGATCCTGATAGTTCTCACTGGAGTTTGTTGACTTTTATTATCAAACCTTGTGCCTGCAAGTTCTGGAAATTCTCTGAAGTTGTTTCTTTTCCTAGAGAGAGCCAGTATAGGACATAGTCATCACAAACAAGAAGTATTAAAACTGGAAATAATTATACACATGTTACTAAAAAGCGAGGGTTGCTATTTCTGTTTCCTGGTGATCCATTCTCTATTCACCTTCTCACTGTGTTTCCATCTTGGAGAAAGACATCTGTTTTCATTTATTGCACATCTTTCCAGAGACACCAACAGTGTAGTCACCATATGAGTACATGTCTTCATAGTTAAAGGTCTTTCTAAGTGCAAACTTTAAACTGAAAAGTGGCCCAAAACTTTGATAAGGAAAGTCTCAGTACCATGGTCAGATATTACATGCTTTTAAAATGTCAGGCACAAAGTATGCAAGACATGTAGCTGGTAGGACCATTTTTGTTTTATTTGATAGAGAATTTGTGGGATGAATAGAATTTGCCAGAATTTTTATTTACACGATACTACTAGTTTATATTTGGGTAAGATATGAGCAAACCTGTCTTTTATTTTCTTTGTTTTATAAAAAGTTCATAAATATCATCTCCATTTTAAAAATTGAAGTATCTTAGACTGTGTGTGTGTGTTTGTGTGTGTCTTGAGAAAGACTTTTTCTGTAGCCCAGGCCAACCTGGGACTAACTATATAGCCCAGCTTGTCCTCAAACTCATGACAGTCCTACCTCACCCTCCTAACTGCTGAGATTACAGGTGTCAGCCAGCATGCTTGACAGGGACACATTTTTATTACTGGGGTGTGGTAGAGCACAGATTACACGTCTGAAGCAGATTCAGAAGAATCAACTCTCACACAGAAAGCTGTGTCATCTGTTACCAGCATTCTGCCTTTCCTTACTCACAGAACATTTTATTTAGGTCTATAAACCGTGTCTCCCCCTACCCTTTATTGAAATTAGATTCTTTCCTCATACAGTATATCCTGATTATAGTTTCCCCTTCCTTCATTCCTCCAAGTTCCTCCCCATTTTTCCTCCCCTCCAGATCCACTCCCTTTCTGTCTCTCATTAGAAAAGAACAGGCTTCTAAGAGATCACAGCCAAACATAACAAAATAAAACATAATGCGATGAAGCAAAAACTTTCATCTCGAAACTGAACATGGCAGCCCAACCGGAGGAAAAGAGTCCCAGGAGCAGGCACAAGAGTCAGAGACCCACTTGTTCTCACACTCAAGAGTCCCATAAAAATACTAAGCTGAAAACTGTAATGTATACTCAGAGGGCCTGGTGCAGGCCCGTGTCAGCCCTGTGCCCACTGCTCCAGTCTGAGTTCATATGAGCCTTGCTCAAGAGGGCCTTGTTCTCCTGGTGTCCTCCATCCCCTCTGGCTCTTACACTCTTTCTGCCTCCTCTTCTATGGGGTTCCCTGAGCTCTGGGGTGAAGGATTTGATAGGGACATCCCACTTAGGTTTGTATAAACCAGGTCTTAAATTTTCTCTACTTAAGACTCATTTTCACTGGAGAAATTTTTACATGACTCTCAATATTTAGGTACATAAGTGTATATGTCAAGCATTTACTGAAAATAAGTCATAAAGAGATTAAAGCAGTTTGTTAGTATGTATATAATTTTACATTAATGATAAAAATAAAATTTGTATAATAGATGGATGTGCCTTTTATTTTTGTATCAAGAATTAAATATTGCCTGAAACAAAAGTTATTCAATATTTTCTAGAGTTCATTGATATTTTTAAATTGCCAATGCTGGAAATACCATTTTAAGTATTTAATAAAAATAGCAGAAATATGTTTCACACCATTTTGGAAATTATTAGAAATTTTTTCCTAACCTCAAGTCACAGTTAATGTTTTTTGTTTGTTTGTTTTTTATGAAATTCAAGTCAATAACTCAGAAAGTTTTAAAATTAAATAGCCCAGCAATTACGACATACTGGTTTGATAAGAACATGTTAAGGAATGTTTCTGTGAGAACAGAAAGCCTTGTAGGGAGCTCAGACGCATACAGTAGTGACCAGTTTGAGCTGAGTGTCTCAAGCAGTAGTCATTGGTATTTTGTATGGCTTCGGGGGCACGCACAGCACAAAGTGAAGCTGCTGTGTGCCCAGAACCAAGACAACAGTGCAGCCACACTATGCACCCCAGGCAAGTCTGCTAGAAACACCTCAGGTTCATTACGGGTTTGATTTTGAATTAGTTGTTGGCCTTTGCCCGCTCAGATATCTTTTTCCTGAATTGCAGACTTTTGCACACTCCCCACATTCAGTTATACAGCCCAGATGGGGTCACAGTCCACAGTGTAAGATGCTTTCTGTAGACCCTGAGCTGCAGCTACTCCATGCCCTGGAGATAGATCCCAGGGACAACACTCTAATGCATGCTCATTTGGGTGCTGTGGCTGAGCTAATTGAGGGGCTACTGTTTCACCTCGGCGCTGGGCTCTTGAGGGAGCCACCTTTAGAAATTTGAAAGCACTGCCTTTCTCCCCTAAACTTCCAAGTCCATGTGTGCACTGGCCCCTTGCATCCCTGACCCTGGCGCCTAGTCTAACCCTTGCCTCCAGGTGCTCTTTAATGGGGGGGAGGGGTGCGCTTCCTTCTGTCTGAGGTTAAAATGGCAGTCTCGGCTTGCTTTTTCCTGTCTGGCTCCTACTGGTGGTATTTCCTGGTTGTTTCTTTTCCCTCACTTGCTTTTCTTGTGTTATGGATACAACATCCACCGTCCCTCGCTGAGGGTACTAATCTCAGTAGTGTTGCAGGGTGGTGCTGCTGCTCTTTTGGTTTCCGCCTATTCCCAGTTTCCACGTTGTCTGAACTGGCCAGCTCTCCTGTTTTGTTTGTTTGCTGCATCCGTCTTTCACAAAAGGTGGACCTTTCTTCTCCCCATCTGGCAGTGCTTGCCGACTCTTCATAATCTGAGGGGCTGAAATCCCAGGAAGCGTTCCTTTCGGGTGGTTGTCATAGGGGGCATCAGAACTAGGTGATGCTCTGACCTCCTTCCAGGAGGCAGCAGCGCTTGGCGGCTGGCAGTCTGGATGAGAAGAGCTACCAGGAGGTGTGCGTGCTTTCATTTGACTCGTTCACTTCGGCCACGTGACTCATTCCACCTACCATTAAGACTCCTATCTCCAAATAGGGAAATTCTGCACTAGTCTCCTAGTAGTAAGTGCTTAGCTGCTGAAATAAGGGACCCAGCTGTTTGTTCATTATGGCCAGAGGCCAGGGGAGACTCCCCTCTTGCCGTCCTCTAACCAGTAAGTTAGTGTGTTTACGTTGTAGAGTAAGACTCAGAACTCATGATTTAGTAGTCAAATGGGGCTTCTGAGAAGGTCCCTCTTATTTCCTACTCAGGAGAAAGCTGTGTAATAATTAGAGCACTTACACTGGCTGCTCAGCACTCCCTTTTTTGATTTCCTTTCGTTTGGTTGTTAAAACAATTCCTTTAAGTGGTTCAGCTCATTCCCTTTGGATGTATTCCCAGTGTGAGACTACTGAACCTTTCAGTAGGAAGAGATTGGCGTGTGTGACTGCTGACCCTCCAGAATGCTCGGAGATTCACATCCCACATATATTTTTCCAAGTTCTTGGTGGCAGATAGGGACAGGATGTTTGACTTGTTGCCTGAAGGTGGAGCTGATCACAGCACACAGCACCACGTAAGCTTACAAGTATGCCAGTGCTTGGAAGAGTGATAGTCTGGCAGCTGAGTGACAGTCATCTTCCTTCTCTTTCAGAGCTTTACCCTCCGAATGCCAGATGCTCCTCTTTTCGGCAACCTTTGAGGACTCTGTGTGGCAGTTTGCTGAACGAATCATTCCTGACCCCAATGTTATCAAGTTACGAAAAGAGGAACTGACCCTGAATAACATCCGACAGTATTATGTGTTGTGTGAAAACAGAAAAGACAAATATCAAGCCCTGTGTAACATCTATGGTGGCATCACCATTGGCCAGGCCATCATCTTCTGCCAGGCAAGCCTGCTGCCTGTGTCTTTGCCACAGACAGATTCCATACAAGTGCACGGGGAGACTGTACCATGAGTAAATGCCATCGAGCCAGGCACTGTGTTCACTTTAACCCTCAGAACAGCTTTGACTAGAATCTTCAGCTTCGGGGTGAAACTTAGGAAGGTTGGCTGATGGGATAGATCTTAAACAAAGGTCCCTTTAGAAACCCTGCCGCTAGCACATCCACACTTGGCTTTTCCAAGTCTGTGATGTCACTTCTACTGATATCTATCCCACTGTGCTCATTTTATGTGGGCTGGTAGGGGAGTTGTGCTGTGTTTGCTTCTTGCCATCTGACCCTTTTCATGCTCATATGCTTTATTTTCATTCCTACCATGTGAACATGCTTGGCATTATGAGCAGGGTGTTGAGACATAGCCCCTGCTCTAGACTGGCATCTGCTGGCATGTGGACAGAACTGAAATCCTCTGTAGAATGAAAACAAGTTCAACTCTGCCCCAAGATAGCCATGTAAACTAGGCAAGTTGCTTAGCTATAGAATTGTTTTCTTTTTGGTCCATTTAACAAAGATGATGATGATGATGCAGATGCAGAAATGGGTATCTGTTTTATTGTGTACATAAAGATGTTAATCACATGGCTCCTACAAAGAACTCTTGTAGTGTTTGTTGGTTTGGTTTGGTCATCAGAAAAGAAGGCCAAAGCTTGGTCAAGTTGAGAGACGGTGATTCTTCAAATCGCAGAGAATGTCATGCCACAGTCTAGACCTTGGAAGACTGAGGGAGAAGGAAACAAGCCCTCTGCAGCTTTCCCCCTTCACCCATGAGCATACAGGGCAGCCAGTTTGCTTTGACTCATGCTTTGATTTCTCTCATAGACACGGCGAAATGCCAAGTGGCTGACTGTGGAGATGATGCAGGATGGCCACCAGGTGTCCTTACTAAGTGGGGAACTCACAGTGGAGCAGCGAGCTTCCATCATCCAGAGGTTCCGAGATGGCAAAGAGAAGGTCCTCATCACAACCAATGTCTGTGCTCGAGGTTTGTGGAAGTTGAGTGTTACTGGGAAATGTATGCAGTCATAGAAACACCACTCTAATCAAAATCAGAACCCGCCATGTAGCTAGAGTTTTCCTGCCTGGCCCACAGTCAGGACAAATCTCTATCACCCGCCAGTCCCACAGCCGCCCAGACCCAACCAAGTAAACACAGAGACTTATATTGCTTACAAACTGTATGGCCATGCCAGGCTTCTTACTAACTGTTCTTACAGCTTAAATTAATCCATTTCCATTAATCTATACCTTGCCACGTGGCTTGTGGCTTACCGGCATCTTCACATGCTGTTTGTCATCGTGGCGACTGGCAGTGTCTCTGACTCAGCCTTCCACTTCCCAGCTTTATTCTCCTCCTTGTCCTGCCTATACTTCCTCCTGCCTGACTACTGGCCAATCAGTGTTTTATTTACTAACCAATCAGAGCAACACATTTGCCATACAGAACATCCCACAGCACCGCCACCTCCCCAACATGGTCCTAGCTTTCTCTGCACCAGTCTCCTCCCAGCACATAGCCTCTGGCAACTGCTGCTGCTGAGATTTCTCTTCCAGACTGCTGCCCACATTGAATCATATAGTGTAGAGCCTTTGTATCTGATTTGTCCACCTAGCATGATGTTGCTGAATTTCCCCAGCTTTGTTTGCTAAGGCAACAGTAGTTTTGTTCCTCTTCATTGGCAATAGTACTCCATTGATAGCTCAGTCATTTACCAGTTGGGTATTTGAATTGCTTGTAGCTAGGGGTTACTTTGAATGCGTCTGCAATAAAAAGTCATGTGTAGGTCTTTGTATCCACACACGTCTTCATTTCTCTTGGGTAAATGCCTTGCTGTGGAACGGCTTTCTAAGAAACTGCAGCTCTTCTGCTGTGTCTCAACCACTGTGCACTCCCACCAGCAGGGTGCGCTCCCATTGATGATGTTCCACACCCTTGTCATTCATTAATCTTGTCAGTTTCTTGTTTCAACCATTCAGATGAACGTGTATCGTATCTCCATGCGGTTTGAATTTGCATTACCCTAATAACTAATAATGCCAACATTATTAGTATCTTAGGTGTTTCAAGTTTTAAATTTACAGTTTCAGGCTGAGGAGTGTTAAGAAAGAGGACTGCCTATTTTTTTTATCCTTCTCACATCGTTGCTTGGACCCTATACTCAAATTGGACCCCAGACTCTAGGTCAGCCTATACTCAAAATATGTTCTCTAGGTCAGCCTATACTCAAAATATGTTCTCTAGGTCAGCCTATACTCAAAATATGTTCTCTAGGTCAGCCTATACTCAAAATATGTTCTCTAGGTCAGCCTATACTCAAAATATGTTCTCTAGGTCAACCTATACTCAAACCACGTTCTCTAGGTCAGCCTATGAGTATAGGGTAAACCTATATATTTGAGTAAACCATGTTCTCTAGGTCAGCCTATACTCAAACCACGTTCTCTAGGTCATTGAATAGAACAAAGGCTCTACTAGCCTTGTCTTGGAAGCCTAGCCTCCCTGAAAAAGGGTGAAGCTCCTGGCCCTTGGGAACTGTTCTTGCCTGGAGCTATCCAAAGGGACTTTGTGCTGTCCAGATGGTGGCCACTAACTAGCTGTATCAGCTCTTGAGCACTTGAAACATCACAGTATGACTGAGGAACTGGATTCTTTTTAATTTGGCTAATTTAAATGTGAATAGTCATATGGAGTTTTATGGTTTCCTTTTTGGACAGAACAATCTCAGCCTTAGCGGGGAAAATGGCAAAGAAAGCTCCAGGCTGAAGGCTCAGAGCAGAGAGGGCAAGATGATGATGTGGGCAGCCTATCAGTGTGGACATGGAGGCCCAGACAACAGAGAGGTGTCCTAGGCAGCACTAGGATTGAAAGGTACTGAAGAAAGGAAAAAGTTCAGATTATTTTTAAATGCTGGGGATTGAACTCGGGGCCTTGTGCTTGCTAGGTGGGCACTCTACCACTGAACCCCAGCTCTAGTCAGAACAGGTCACTTGGGTAGGAAAATACAGTGGCTTTAGAAAATGCCTAGCCCTTGTAACTGGAACTGAACATGGAGCTGGGGTGAGCCCGTAAGTGGTTTGAGGACTCGAGGAGCGTGTATTCTAGGCTGTGAGCACAAGAGCCCTGGACATGGCTGTGGTGGCCATCCTCTGTGACGTTAGAAGAGTGGCAGAAGAGGTTGAGGGAAAAGCATTAGAACGTGGAATGCAACATGGAAGGGATAAAAACAGACATGATGAGAACATAGCCATGGAGTAGAGTTGAGCTGCATCCCATAATAGGTAAGAAGACTCTGCACCTATGAGCCTGCTGGGGACTAAGCTCCACAGAAGTAGGGAAGAGCTTGGCCTTGTAGGCTTGGCGAGGGCCTCTCTCTCTCCCCTTTCCCCACTCACATATACATGCTTTGTACCCGTTTAGATTTGTGCAGAATTAGCTTTGATTAGCTTGACTGCTACCCAGCATCACAGACACCACAGTGCGCAAGCAAACTGACCTGCTTTAGGACCCCCTAGTGAGAGTTCCTTTGGCACATACAGTTCTTGGTGGATTTGGCCTGAAGACCCTCTAGTGTCTCTCTTCTCCTAGGAATTGATGTGAAGCAGGTCACCATCGTTGTGAACTTTGACCTTCCTGTAAATCAATCAGAAGAGCCAGACTATGAGACCTACCTCCACCGTATAGGACGGACAGGACGCTTTGGGAAAAAAGGTCTCGCCTTCAACATGATTGAAGTGGATAAGCTGCCCCTGCTTATGAAAATACAGGACCACTTCAGTAAGTAGCAGGCTTTCACATGCGCAGTAGGAGCCCCAGACTTGCTCATACTGTCCATGAGGGCAGTGAGAGGTTGTGTGAAACAGAAGCCGTGAGAGAATAGCTTCTAGTTCATAGGATGAAAGTCATAACCTAGGCCAAGTGATCACGTGATTCCTTTATGGTTAAACAGAAGTTTAAGTGTCAAGTAGAATTCACATGAGCTCATTCTGCAACCTGTAGAATTTTATGCCCATAGAGCAATACCACAAAGTAATGACACCCTTTAGGATTTATTGTGTCCAATTTCCTCTTTTACAGTTTCTCCTTCTGTTGTCTCACCCTCTCAGACAGGACAGTCCTGACTTCTGTAGGTTGCTTTGCAACCTTTCCCAGCCCCACATCTGAACAAGCAGGCTCAGCTAGTCTGCTGGGCCCTAGAACTGTCAGAATGCACTCATGGGAGCGTCAAGGGTTACATCACTTGGTAGCTGTACCCCCTCCCCTGCAGAAGCCAAGTGTAGTGGTACACATCTTTAATACCAGCACTCAGGAGGCAGAGGCAGAAGGATCTCTGTGAGTTCAAGGCAGCCTGGTCTTCATAGCGAGTTCCAGGACAGGCCAGCCACATAGTATGACTGTCTTGAAGAGACAAACAAAAATTAACCCAAGCCCAAGAGAGCTGTGTAGAAGGCTTTTCATTTAGATTATATGATCATACCTATTTTTGAACCTGGCCACAGATAAGGGGAGTGGGGGGAGCATGGCAAGAAGGCATTAAGTACCATCTTCTCGGATGGGACTTTGTTGGAAGCCGTAGGCACACTCCCCAGGAAGTGGACTCACCGAACGTTGGAATGGAATTTGTAAAGGTTTTCAGACTGACTGCTGCACATCCCACCGACCCTTTAAAGTACTGCTTAGGCACCCCATCTTAAACTACCTGAGTGGTTAGGAGAGAAGCACCCATGTTGGCCACTACTGCTCTGCTGAACTCTTGGGAAGTAGCTCCAGTGAGGCGGCTCGGCCCACCCCGGCTTTTCTCACTATCAGCAAAGCCTCTTTTGCCTCAAGGTATCCAGACATGTACACTCTGGATCCAGTCTATTTGCTGCTGTTTTAGGTTATGTGGGCCAACTCTTTGGTAAGTGTCTTGGGGCTTCCTCTACAAAATGTCACAGGAGCAGAGGGTTTGTTCGTTTGTTTGTTTGTTGAGACAGGGTCTCACTGTGTAGCCCTGGCTGTCCTGGAACTCACTGTGTAGACCACGCTGGCCCGAAACTCACAGAGATCCACCTGCCTCTGCCTCCTGAGTGCTGGAATTAAAGGCGTGCGTCACCACACCCTGCTTAGAAACTGTATTTTAGAGGTGTCACTGTTTCTAGTATGACTGGCTGGAATGAACTTGCGTTTAGGACCTGGGATGAGACTGGATCCTTTCTCTTTCGTTCTTTCAGATAGCAATATTAAGCAGCTCGACCCAGAAGACATGGATGAGATTGAAAAGATCGAATATTGAAGAGAGGCCTTTGTTGTTTGTGGGCTTTCCTAGTTTGTGAGAATGTTGCAGCAGGTTTTGAAGATAATTTTCTATGTTGAGGCTCTGTCAAGGTGAAACTGTCACAGACAACAAAATAAATGTCATGGTACTCTTCATTCTAAGACCCAAATTGATTCAAAGCATGTGACTGGTTTAAATAAGAATGCAGATTCCTTCTTCTAATCTGTTTACAGGTAGCATCTCCCTGAGCTGCTGTGGAGATGGCTTTTCATTTAGATTATACGATCAAACCCATTTATGAACCTGGCCACGAGGGGGCAGTAGAACATCACTAATTTTAGAATGAAAGCTGGCAGGACAGCTGGAAAGCCACCCATTTTCAGACCTCGCTCACAGACTGCCCTTTCTGTGTATCAGTTTCCCCATTCACACCCTTGCTCTCAGGCGAAAGGATACTTTAAAATTTTGGAAGAGACAGAATTTTAATATTTCAGGTGACATCCAGAATTTCTGAATATTTTCCACTTCTGCTTGTTACATACAGTCTTCAAATCAGAAAAGATTTGTTATTTCACAGTCTTTAAAAATGTGGCTTTATTCTAGATATTTCTCAGAAGAGGGCAATGAAGGTTCCAAAAAGAGCAAGCCAGGCCTTGAGGAGATGCTGCTCTGTGGGGACAGTGCTGATTGTGTGACCATGAGGGTCTAAGTTCACATCCCAGCACACAGCTGGGAGCCAGACACGTAGATCAGGAACTCACAGGCCAAGTCAGTCCAACTGAAATGGCAAGCTCTGGGTTCAGTGAGAGACACTGTCCGGAAACCAGGTGGAAAGCAGTGATGTCAGCCCACAAGCATATGCACGCACACACGCATGCACACATGCATGCACACACATATATGCACTCACCCATGCACACCTCCACACAAACATGCATCACAGAAATCCACCAAAAAATTAAACAGAATAAGCCCAGAAATAACATGTCAGGGAGTCAATGATGTTGTTTGTAAAAGCTTCATGGTAGCAGAGCGTGGTGGCCCATACCTGCAATCCCAGCATTCAGAAAGCAGAGTCGGGGGATTCCCACAAGTTTGAGGCCAGCCTAGTCAACACAGAAAGACCTGTCCCAGAATTTTTTAAAAAAAAAAAAGTTTGTTTCAAGAAAAATTTAAATCTTCCACGAGAATCTAGACATTTTTCTGTAAGCAAAAATTTTCTTAATTGCCACATATGCTACTTAGAAATTAAAACATGAGCCTGAAAAAAATGGGGTGAATGGCTGGATTCTCATAAAGCTAAAGTCTACAGCTCTGCCACACTCCCAGCTGCCAGCGGCCTCTCCAGTGAGTGTGTGCCACCCCTGCTGTAGATGAGGCTCGTGGCTTGTCTATTTTGATAGTCCACGTGGCTGTCACTGTGCCCATGTTGATCCCTAAGTCCAGGGCTCAGAAATGGGAGAATCGGCAGGCTCCCTCATAAAACACTAGGTGTTTACCATGCATCCTTGTTCTAAGCAGCAGGGGAAGGGGAGATAAATAAGATTCAAGACACCTCGGCGGAGAGTATAATGGCAGAGACCCCGTCTAAGCCAGCATCCAAACAGCTAAAGGGGAAGAACACATGTATCCAGGGTCACACAGATGGTCTCCAGGATATACCAGGCCTCCTACAGGGGGCTGGGATATGCCTAGCACTATGGCAGTCTCCTAACATGGGTCCCCTGGGACAGTATTCCAGACCCAGCTCATCCTGGGTGTTACCTAGAAAGCCTAGGAAAAACTGCCAGTCCCTTGTCCTGGGTAGACAAAGCCAGATGCTCTAAGGATCCAGAAGTACTTAGGTAGAGAGCTGGAAGTGTTGGCACAGTAGCGGATAGAAAGACCTGTCTAACAAGAAGATGCTGAGGCAGAAGTTCTTTGAGACAGTTTGCCAAAAGGAGCCGCCATTTGGGAATATCTGCTCCATGGTTTACACTGCATCTGCTTTCCTCTCTGTGACTAGAAACTGTCAGTCTTTGTCCTCAGGACCTTGCCCAGCACCGTACCCATAATAGCAACTCCATGATATTTACTCTCCTATTAAGTAAATATTTTTCTCCTTTTGCTCTCTCCTCATCCATTGGCATTTTCCCTGGTTTTGAACCCTGATCATAAGACATAGGATAAGCAAGAACGAGAGACATAATAAGGTATTTTGTCTAGCTATTTGAGAAATGACTTGGGCTCTCCACCCTACTCAGCTCAGCCTTGGTGTCCTAAATGAAACCGCAAATGCACACCATTTCCAGTGCAGATCTCCGGCAAGGACTCAGCAGGCCACCTACCACCACAAGAGCCTTTGGTAGGCTCTGCCTGGCAGCTCTTCCCACAGAGTCTGCAAACACTAGACATTCTTCTACCTTGTCCCTCTCCTCCCATTCCTTTGTCTCACCACCCAAGAGACAGCAAGGTCATAGCTGTATTAAACCGCTGTCACAGGGTGGTGAGTCAGCAATCCTAAGAGAGCTTTGCAGGGCCAGTTCCTTGCGCAGAAATGTAAGCAAATTTCCTATCTCCACCATGACCTGGCCGGGGTCATCTCTCTGAGTGCTAGCTGGATGAAGGAATAAATGGAGAGGCAAGAAATAGCCAGATGGTTCCAGACCATCTGTGAGCTGGTTTAATCAGCTGTGTGTTACTTGGCCCCAAAGACTAAACCAAATCCAGGAGGTTTATATTGGCCAGCTCAGTACTGGTAGCATACCGGACTTGGTGATTACATGTGGCAGGGTTGTGATTTGCAAGGGAACTGTGAGTGATCACCTCACAGTGATCAGCCTGGGCCCTGCGGCTGTGATGTTAGGTGCAGGATCTAAGGCAGCTATTCATAACTGAAAAGAGTTGCCCACAGTCTGGTAGGGTGTCTGACAGCTCAAGGGACATTACTGTGTTTAGAGAAAGGGTTGCTGCTCCTCAGTAGAGCTTGGTTACCATGAAAGCCACTGGCAGTCTGCACGTATGAGCAATGAGAAAAGTCTTAGAGGATTGCAGGAGTGGATGGGGGTGGGGAAGTGAGCAGTTCCTGACCAGACACGGGAGAAAGCCTGGTTGTGCCAACCCTGCATCTGGTTCTTGGGCCTCTTAGTTCGTGCAGGCTCCCAGATTAGAAAAAGAACCCAAGCGGAGCCATCCCTGCTGTTGGGCTGGTAACAGAAAGACAAGTCCAGACCTAGGGCCTCCAGGCTGGCCATGCACTCTCTTTCCACTGGACCTTCTGCTGGCACCATTGAACAGGCAAGCATACTGCCCTTCTCAGTGGGCCTCCCAGAGCCAGCACTTCGTGTCTATTAGTCTTCCAAGGGAGCTGTTCAATCCTGACCACTCCGGCCCTCGGCCACTTCCGGAGAATAATCAGGAACGTCTAAGACCTGTGTGTCATTTTGCCCCACAGCCTATGAAAATGCTTTGAGGACTACTAACTTTCAAAAGCCGCTGTTGGGAGAATTAGCTATCACTCTGCCCCCTCGTGCCTGTCTGCTGGCTCCTTCCCCCTTCTACTCCTGCCCCTCGTTCCCTGGATAATGTTCTAATACAGACAGTGTCTTCTCGTTTGCCGTGGGCACCCCAGAAGGTCAGCTGAGCCATGCTCTGGCCTGTTCACATAGTGTGGCCTGGCCCATTATCTCTAGACACTGTTCTGATTTCCCGGATGGCTTTGCAAACTCTTGTTTATAATATGTGTGGGGCTGAAGCACTATCCACAGTTCTTAATTACATTTTTTACATTATTGTGGGAGAGGCCACGTGCATGCCACAGTACACTTGTGGAGGTCAGAGGACAAGTTACATAGTTGGTTCTCTCCTACCACTATATTGGTTCTGGCATGGGACTCAGGGTCTCAGGCTTAGTGGCAAGTGCCTTTACCAATGAGACACCTCACTGACCCTCATTCCCTCTCTCTCCCCCACACTCTTGCTTCCTCATATATACATTCTCTCTGTGTGTGTGATGTTTGAGACAAGGTCTCATTGTGCAGCCAGGCTGGTCTGGAGCTTGCTATTTAGACCAGGCTGGGTCTCTGCCTCCTGAGTAGGATTAAGGCATGTGCCCATTCTCCATTTTAAATGTAGAATTTCTGCTTCATACAGAACTAGTAAAATAATAGGAAACGCACCTGAAGTGTGCTGGGGCTCGATGAGAAAAGTAACTGTCTGGACACCCCACACAAAGCCCCAGAGCCCAGCTCTGTAAGTTCCCAGCCCCCTTGGTCCAGTGTTTCAGTCTTCTACTTCTGAGGAAGTTATAAACAAGTAAAAGCTCTATATAAGGAAAACAAGCTCCAGGGAGACTCTATCCACCATTTAATGGCAACCCAGGGTCTTTACTGTTCTTGATCAGAATAACTATGTATTTATTTCCGTTTTGAGAATATATCTTCACTGAATATGGATGCTCTCCTATTTTGAACTTAGTAATTTCCTAAGCTAGAATCAATAGATAGTCTCACTCTAGGCCCTTGGTTCATGGTGGTCTGTGGCTTGAAATCTTGGTTAGAATGAAGTGCTTGACCAGGATGCCCAGTTATGAGTGAAGTTCAGGGTCCAGTCATGTACAGAAGCCTCTGATGTTACTTTAGTTATACACTTTTAATTGAACAACCCATTTTGTAAAGTGGTGACATTCACCGTCCTTCACGGGAGTGCCCAGTCAGAGAGCGGACAGTTACTTGTAAAATCCATGGGAATTTGGCATAAAATGATCTCTGAGGCTCTGCCCATTCTAAGATACCATGTTTCTGTGACCCCACAAAAAGCAACACTGCTGTGGGATGTCTTTCTGTACACTGTGAATGTGTTGCTCTCATTGGTTGATCAATAAAGCTGTTTGGCCAATGGCGAGGCAGGGCTGGTACCTCAAGGTCATAGGTGGATCAGGTACCCACTATACAACACACATGAAGAATGTAAGTCATGGAGGCTTTTACAGACGGTTGCTCACAAATGAGAGGGATGGGTGGGCATTAGCTTCCAATAGCTTTCAGATCCACCAGCTTCTTCCTCACATGATCATGTCTTTACACCATGCTCCATCAGCTTATGCAGAATATAGGTTATTTTTAGTTTAATATTTCTGTTCTAAAAGCAGTAAAGCAGCAAGTGCTAGTAACAGACTCTCCCCAGCTGGAGCAGTTGCCGTCTTGATAACCCTTTTCGTCCTGATAGAACCACAGTTCATCATAGTGCATGTCTGATAATAACTAATAAGAACTGTTTTTGCCTGTTACCAGTCTTTGGGATGATTATTTAATAATAATTGGCTCGATTATCCTGTCTGGAAATATGCACACAAATCTTTGTTTATGATCATTTCCAACATTATAAGTAATGCTGCACAATATTTGGGATTTTTTTCCCTTAGGATTAAAGATGTTAAGTTTGAGTGCCAAACTGGGGCATTTTTATGACTGTCAATAGACAGTAGCAAACTGCTTCCTGAGGTTAAAACTGTGTATCAGTCTCTCCTCACGTTACAATCAGGGGAGGTTGCATGCTTATTTGGTTTGATTTACATTTTTCCCCATGCAAACAGTATTATTTCTTTGTGTATGATTCACCATTTGAAAAACATCTGTAGTATCATTTGTAAGATCATGTTATCAACTTGTATGAAATACGTGTGATTTCTTTCCAGATACAATAAAGATATTAACCTTTTTATTGAGAATATATTTTCCCCATATACCTGCCTTTTAAATTTTAGGTTACATCCCATGTAAAATTATGTGGCTCAGAGCTTAAGAGCATATACTGCTCTTGCAGAGGTCCTAAGTTCGATTCTCAGCACCCACATCACATCAGGTAGCTCCTAACTGCCTGTGACTTCAAATCCAGGGGTTTCAATGCCTCCAGCCTCCTTGGGCACTTGCACTCAAGTATATAAACTCAAGTACATACACACCACAATTAAAAATAACCTTTGATCTTATGAAATATGTTCATAATTCTGTAATTTTTTTGGTCTATTGATTCTAAATGTTAACATTACTCTAGAAACATTTCAATTTTATGCTAGGTTATTTTGTGATTTTAATATTTGATTACATTTATTTATTTAGTGTTTGGGTAAATCCATGCCATGGTGGAGGTCAGAAGAAAATCTTCAGGAGTCATTTCTCTCCTTCAACCATGTGGGATCCAGTCATCAAAACTAATGTTACCAGCTTGGCAGCCAGGGCCTTCACTCTACTTTAATCCATGTGAGGCATATCAAATTGATCCCATTTTTCCCCTTAAGAAATAGTGACTATGCGGCTACAGATTTAGCTCAGTGGTAGAGTACTTGCCTAGCATATCTGAAGCCCTTAATTCAATATCCTGCAACATGAGGGGGTTATAGTTTTTCTGTGTCCACCCAGCTCCTGTGTCCTTGTGTTTCCGCAGCCACTCAGACCCAAATAAACACACACACAGGCTAATATTATTTAAAACTGTTAGGCCATTAGCTCAGGCCTAGCATTAACTAGCTCTTACACTTAAACTCAGCCCATTTCTGTTCATCTAGATGTTGCCACATATTCCATGGCTTTACCTGTGTGCCTGTTACATGCTGCTCCCTGGATGGCGGGCTGGCAGCATCTCCTGACTCAGCCTTCCTGTTTCCCAAATTCTCCTGTTTGTCCTGCCTATACTTCCTGCCTGGCTACTGGCCAATCAGCGTTTTATTTATACGGAATGACATCCCCAGCAGGGGGTGGTAACTCTAACACCTGCTGTTGAGAAATCTGAGTTTTCTTCTGCTATCTCCTTTTTCATAATACATTTCTATATCCTGAACACATAGAATTCTGGGATCGATGCATTTGTTTTTTCTAGCACTAGTTGAAAGAATAACTATTACAGACTGTATTTGTATTTTAAATATGTATTTCCCCTCTAGATTACTGTGTCTCTTCTTTTTTTTTTTTTTTTTTTTTTTTAGAAAATCCTCACCTATTTATTCTTCAAGATTAACTTTAGAACTTTTTTTTTTTTTTTTTTAGGTTTTTTTCGAGACAGGGTTTCTCTGTGTAGCTTTGCGCCTTTCCTGGATCTCACTTGGTAGCCCAGGCTGGCCTCGAACTCACAGAGATCCGCCTGGCTCTGCCTCCCGAGTGCTGGGATTAAAGGCGTGTGCCACCACCGCCCGGCAACTTTAGAACTTTTTAATCAAACACTCTGGGTCTGGGCTGCATCCTTTGATTATAATAATTAATGTAGTCCATATTACTTTGCAGATCATCTGCTTCTTGTTGCTTCTGGGTTATTGTTTTGTGTTTTGAGACAAAGTCTCATTATACAGATACAGTTGGTCTCACACCCGTCATCCTCCTGCTTCGGCCATGTACCACCACATCTTGATTTGTTTACATGGTTAATGTGCTGGATCAGTTGGTCCTGTCTTAAGAAAATCATCAGGCGCCATACTAGGTGTAAAGACACACAGACACCCAGGCCAAGAAGCCAGCTGTTGATGGGAGGGATGCTGGGGTGAGGTAGTTCTCAGAGGGTCATGCTCAAGTAGAGGCCCCAACAGAAGCTCTAGGCTTGATGAAGGCCCTCTACCTGTCATGACATCTCTTCTGGGTCCTGTCCAGCTCCAAAGTCCTTTTCACTAGTGTTGCCTCTATGCCATGGGCTTCAGCCTCTGCTTTGGCCTCCCTGGCGTGGAGACAGCAGAGCCATGTCTACTGTATTTCCTCCTCTTTGGGCCCAATGCCCTACCCAGGGCTGGGCACCCAACGTGTGTTCCCCAGACACTGGAAGAGAGTGAAAAGGGGGGAACAGGTAGCCCCTGTGTGTGGCAGAGGTCTGTGTGGGCCGGTGTGTTCTGCAGCTCACTTCAGTGTGAAAACAGGTCTCTTGGGGATCATGTTAGCTTCGGGGCCACACTTCAGTGTCCTCATGCTTACCTAGGAAAGACAGCAGAAGGAAGAAGGCCTACAGTATTGGTCCCAACCATACTTAAAGCCTGTATATACTTGGGTATAAACAAGCTGGGAGACCCAGAACCACTTGACACATTAGGGGAGTTGTAAGGCCGTGGGTAACTTCCTGTGTTTGTTGCTATCTGCTGCAAAGAACAGAAACTCTGAAGGAAAGGCTTTGTCAAAGGGGGGAAAAGCGGTAGGTCCTACAGCGGCGTCCTGAAGCCCGTGTGGCACAGTACTCACCAGCCCCGTTCTGAGCTGCTCTGTGCTCTCGGGGGAAAGATTCTCTCAATCTGTGAAGAGTTTCAAAATGTTTGTGGATAGCATGCTTGACATTTACTATAGTCTGGAAGCATTAAGATTATGATCGCCGCCGCCGGGTGTGCTGGCATAAGCCTTTAATCCCAGCACTCAGGAGGCAGAGGCAGGAGGATCTCTGTGAGTTCAAGGTCAGCGTGATCTACAAAGTGAGTTCCAGGCCAGCCAGGGCTACATAGACCCTGTCTCAAACAAAACAAACCAGACTGTGATCACAGCCCAGAGGCTGACATGTGACAAGCTGTCTCACGAGTACAAAAAGCCTGAAGAGAGAAGAAACATAGCCAGACCAGCCGACAAGTGATGCCTTGACACCTTTCAAGAGCATTATTTTAAAAAATCTGGGGGCGGAGGGCGGAGGTAGCTGGAGAGATGGCTCAGTGGTTAAGAGCACTGACTGCTCTTCCAGAGGACCTGGGTTCAATTCCCAGCACCCACATGGCAGCTCACAACTGTCTGTAATTCCAGTTCCAGGGGATCCGACACCCATGGCAAAACACCACTACACATAAAAATTAAAAAAAATTAAAAGAAATGTAGCTGCTGGACCCATTCAAGCAGGCCTATCATCCTAGCTACCCAAGAGCTTGAGGCAGGCGGAGCACAAGTTCAATGCCAGCCTTGGCAGTTAGTAAGAGCTTGTCCCACAGGAAAGAAAGAAGTAAAGGGGAGCTAGAGATTAGCTCAGGGGTAGAGCCTACTACGTGTGATGCAGGAGCACACGTGTGTATACACAAACACACACACACCCCTCTGATTAAGTTGAACATGGTAGCATACACTTCTAATCCCAACACTTGGGATGCTGAGGCAGGAGGATCATGAGTTTGTGGCCAGCCTGGGCTACATAGAGAGACCTTGTCAGACAGAGAAAGCCCTCTAAGGAGTGGGGTTCAGTGGTTGAGTGCTAAGCGTAAAGCCCTGGGGTCTATCCCTAGCACTACAAAAAAAAATTTTTTTTTCCTTTCTTACTGGAAGAATCTTTATGAGACTAAAGTGTTGACAACTCTGTCATTCCCAGAACTTTCTAGCACCACCTCTCCACCCCATCCCTGCTGCCTTAGTTTTTTAGTATTTTTTTCCCCTCCTCTCTTTTAGGGGGTGGGAAAACTGTCTTGAACAAGCAGAATGTTTTATCCAAGGTGTTTGGCAACGAACCTGGGTTCTAGGAAAGATTTATGTCTTGGTCTTCTGGCACTGCTTCGTGTTAGCTCACTTAAAATAACTGAATAAATGAGTTCACTTTATCCTGTCGAAGTGGAGCCCAGGGCGGCTTGGTACCCAGCTGGGGTCCATGGGGACCTGAGGCAATGTTCATGTCTCAGCCACTTACTCTGAGCTCAGCCCGTTTTATGTCTATCTGAGATCATTAAATCGAGGTGGGCAGGGGGCAGAGAGACCTAGGAATGAATGGTGTGATGGAAACTCCAGCTGGAGTCAAGGAGACACAGCCAAGAGCAAGGATATGGGGGTCACAGAGAAGGCTGTCTGCCTCTACCCTGTCTCTCCCAGTCTCGAGTCTTTAGGGCAGGGGCAAGGCTGGTTGCTTTGAGTTTTAGCTACAGGAAAGCCCTTCCAGAAAGTTCTTCCTAGCTGAGCACCGTGGCACACATTGATAGTTACAGCACATGAGATGCAGAGGCAGGGGGACAGCCACAAGTTTCAGGGCAGCCCAGTCTACATAGTAAGCTCCAGGCTGGCCAAGTCTTCGTCTGTGTGATCCTATCTCAAGAAGAAAACAAAAAAGTTCTCTTCGGTTACTGATCCCTAGAATATATAAATTTTCCTTTGCTAGAATATGTAAACGTTCCTTTCTTGGTAGGTCATATCTTTTCTTCTTTCCCCTGACCTGTTACCATTATATCACTGAACCCTGGGACAATGTTGGTCGCTCCAAAAAAGGAAATATGAATTCCTCCTGGACAGACTTTTGGAGTCTCACCAAGGCCCATCCCTCTCATGTGGGTTGGCAAGATGGCTCAGGGGGAAAAGGTGCCTGTCACCAATTCTGATGGTCTGAGTTCAGTCCCTGGGAACTACAAGGTAGGAGGGAGATGACTCCTGCAAGTTCTCCTCTGACCCTCACTGGCTGGCAGTGGCACAGCAATGGAAAATAAACAGAAAAGGGTTTGCCAAGCAGCTTTGCTGACATCTTGAGGTAGCAGAACTAGAAGAAACAGAGGACTAGAAAAAACAGAGAGGGGGTTGGAGAGGTGACTCTGCAGCTAAAGAGCACTGGCTGCTCTTCCAGAGGACCAGGGTGAGTTCCCAGCACCCACATGGTGGTTCACAACCATCTGTAACTCTAGTTCCTGGAGGATCTGACGCCCTCTTCTGGCATAAAGGGGCATCGGGTATGTCTATGGTACACAGATATACTGCAGGCCAAACACCCATGCACCTTAGAACAAAGGGCAGGCCGGAGCCCAGG